CCCGAGCCCTTTGGGTCTGGTGTTGTGTTTGGGGGGCGTAAAGTCGAGCAAAGATGAGATGTATCAAAATAACGGGTCCCTTGCCGGACACTTCGGCAGTGGGTGCCGGATTTTTGTGGTGGGCTTTAATCGGGGCTCGGCAGCATACAAACAATCTGCAGCACTCAGGCACGAACCCTGGCAGTAAGATGACGAGTTGATTGCAGGTAGGCACTAAGCCGTACCGCAACTGAACCCTGCTCCCTGAACATTATAGGGAGGTAACGTACCGCAACTGAACCCTGCTCCCTGAACATTATAGGGAGGTAAACCCCTAAACTAACTCCCATCTGCCAAAGGCAGCTCATCATTGGCGCCAGCTTTTTCGGCCTTGGCTGGGGTCTCGTAGGAATTTGCCCAGGGCCAGCGATTGCAGGAGCCTCTGGCTCAGCTTTAGCTTTCATTCTGTTTGTTACCAGTAGATTCGGGGTTTTGGGTTTGGGGTTTAGGGTGTTCTAGGGTTTAGGGTTTAGGGTTTTAGGGGTTTAGGGGTTTAGAGTTTAGGGTGGATGGTTCGGTCATAGAATCTCATTCTACGACATGTATCAAGAACACATAAATGATTCAAGTGCGTTGCGCTGAATGCATAGCCCTAGACTTTTGTCTTTGGGGTTTCAGGGATATATTACCAGGAATAATGGAGCAACACAGCTTTGTGGGTATCGTCTTCTACATACCTGAATGTAATTGGCAGCAGATTTTGAGGGAAATGGCTTCAGTCTCTGGTGAGTGTGAGAGTGTCAACCTATCAAGCTGGGTCCTGCTTTAAGTCCCCACCTGGACCCCAAAAGTATGTAAAATAATGGTCTTTATGGCTGTTATTATGGGTTTAGGGCCATTATTTTACATACTTTTGGGGTTTAGGCAACCCCTGAAGGGCTGGTCCCGTACGCCGTGGATGCGGATGGGGCCGGCCTTTCTTTCGCAATCTGCTTCCTGGTGATTTGCATGACTTGGCTGGTTGCCGACGCTTGGCTGCGGGGAAGTTCGAATTTGTAGGTTGGGGGTGGTTGGACTAATTTGCGTGTCATAAGTGTATGTGTTGTGAGGCGGCTTCCGAAAACACGGTGCCTGATAGAGATTTGGAAGGAATGTATCAAATTGTCTCAAAACACCCCTCCCCCAAAAATACTTATAGAAAGTTGGCTGGCTCATAGCTCACGCCACCTGCTTTTTAGAGGCTTCCATCCTGAGCATATGCTGCATGATTCGCAGGTTGCAGAGTAGTTAAGTTGATGTGGCCAGTTATTAGACTTTCAAAAAATCACGGCAAGCATTAACGGCCCTTTTCAAGAATTGAATGTGTTTTGGGATTTTTGTGTGTATTTGTCCGGTTAGGGTGTAGATAGGTTGTCAGGGTTGTGGGTTCAATAGGGTTTCCGTGGCTTGGGGTGGATTCTAGAAACATACTTTTTCAGACAAATGTTGTAGTTTCCCAAAATAGGGGGCCAACAAACACGATAATCCTTATTATGGATACCCCTAATCTAGTGAAGCCCCATATTTGAGACTTGAGGATGTCCGTTCTGGGAATACATGCATCCCACTCTCAAAATGTTGTCTGTAAAACATGTAGCCTCACAACTACCAAGCGAGTTGCCCTGAAGTTGTTTTGGTGGGCTTAGCTACTTTCGGGAAAGCATACGTAATGGACAATAGAGTAGCCTAGTGCGAGTGGCAGGAATGTTTATTAACAATGCCGCCTTGCAAAATGAGGACCGCGTGGTTGTCCGCCTGGAGAAGAAGCCTGCCGCAACACCGGCGGCGCAGGCGCACATGGCAAATTGATAGCCGAACTTCCCATTTCCTGGACCCCAAAGCTAAACAACCCCAGGCCTTGATTTCGAGGAATCACTTCCTGAACTCCCGCCCCATACATGCCAAGGGCTAAAGGTGCCCCATCCCTGAAAAGAGCCCCCTAAGCCTACAACCGTAGGTCCTATAAACCCTAAACTAAACCCGATAACCCAAAACACCAAACCCCAAAACCCCAAACCAAAACATCCAAACCCCAAACCCTAAACCCCAAAGTCCAAACCCCAAACACTAAACCCTAAACTCCAAACCCTAAACTCCAAACCCTAATCTCCAAACCCTAATCTCCAAACCCTAATCTCCAAAACCTAAACCCCAAACCCTAAAATTGGGATCTCCATGGAAAGCGTCAGCCCAGGAGGAGACAAGCCCTGAGCTTGACGCGGAGAAGGCCGTGGAGGACACTGAAAAGGTCAAGGCTTTTTGAGTGGTTGTTTAGAGGCTTTACCCTGGATGGAGAATCAAATGGAAAGGAACATCATAATCACATGGAAGCTGGAATGACGTAGGGATTGCGCTAAAACCCTCCTAGTACCCTTATTCGGGGGTTGGCCCCTAATACTGGGTACTTAGGCTCCAATGAGGGGTGGGTGGAGGGTCTAGTTAGATAGGAGAAGAGCCGTGTAGACCTTGCAACATTGGCCTTCCTAAGCTGGACGATGGACTCTTCGCCCTTCAGACACTTATGCCTACGAATTGCAGTTGTTTCTCCGTGGATACCTGTATCATATATGGTTTTTGTTTGAATGAGTGAGCTTCTGCCCAGGAACTGTCTTACCATACCCATAAGACAAACTACCACGCAGCAGGTCCAAGCAGTCGAGATGCCGCTCCTTGAGTTTAGAGGCTACAGCTTCAGATCAGCTTGTATACCGATTGTTCCGCTTCCTAGCAGTAAACTCTTGACGGCCCCTGTCCGATAGCACGAGCGTTTCCTGTCGTGGCTTTGGCCATTCGTTGATCTTGTTGCCTGCTCTCCCTTCGACAAGGAGACGCCCACCACCGCGAATGCGTCGCTTGAAACAAAAGGCTCCGGGGAAACACAGCTGTGGGAAGCCAGCCTCTGAGAGGCAAGTTTTAGGTAGGATGTGCCTGAGATGCTCAACTTTTGGTGTCCAAGTTTGTTTCCGGAATTGTCTACAAAATATACGTCCTAGTAGACTTGCCCAGATATGGACTGACCAAATCTTGCGCAAGATTTTGATCCTTCATGCGTATAAGGATTGATACAATGTTGCCATTAAAATTGTAGGGTTTCTGTCATGGCACCGACACATCTCAGAAAAGTCGCACAATAAATCATCATCGTTTGTGCTCAGCAGGCCACATGTGCAACACATCTGTGGCCTGACGTGCGGTAGCTCTGTACCATGGGGAGGTTGGGAGCGGGCTTCCTACCCCTAAACCTCGAACCGCATCAACTCAAAGCCCCAGCCCCCTAAACCAAAACCCTCAAAAATCCTATCATCCCTTAAACCCTAAACCCCTCAACCCTAAAACCCTGAAGAAGTAAGCCGGATTTCGGCCCGATCGCTTCTCTCTCTCCAGAGTGCAGCCCTTTTCCCAGTGACTGCGCAGTCACTGTGGTTGCCGAAGGTACATAGACCACAGATGCCAGGATATGGGATCCTCTGTCCAGGCATCATGGGCTACCTAACCGCCTCCTCCTGTACTACCCCCCCAAGGTTCCCCTTTTATTAGGCTTACTTTCGAGTATTTTAGCCAAATTAAGGGAGAAGACTATAGCAGGGTTGGTTAAGAAAGCCCATGAAGCAGCCACCCTGAAGTCTAAAACCCTGAAGAGGGCAGCTTCGGGCCGCTTGGTTCCTGTATCTCTGACCCAGACGCCTGGGAGGATGTAATATAGGGGCCTATGGTTTCATATTCCTTGTATCATTTTTGTGTATGGTACCTCAAATGGACCTCAAAATGATATTGGTAATTATTTAGGCCCCTATCTATAGTAGAAAGTTGATCCCTCTTAAAGGTTCCTAGAAATCCCCCAAGAATTCTGTAGTAGATGGCACTAAGCACCAAACTTGGGGCTCTAGATTCTAGATCCTCCCAGTGCCACATTATGAGCTGCCGAGGCTGAGCTTCCAAGCAACCTACATGATATTAATTATATAGGGGTAAGATTATATAATGTAGAGTTTAGAGTTTAGGGTTTAGGGCTAATGGAAAAGAAAATGGAAACTACTAGAATGGGTTATATAAAGATTATAGGGTATGTATTGGGGTTTTCAAAAGTGAGTGTCTCGTCTTGGGCCTTTAGAATAAGGCCATAGTTTATTGGGATGTATGAGGGGTTCCCCTATAGATGGGGCTTTTTCTATGTCTGCGTTCCTATCCAACGAAATGGCGCATTTGAGGGTGAGGCGCCTTTGACTGGGTACCGCCATCAACTTAGGCTTCTGGGTATGCAGGAGTAGGGACTTTCACATCGGGCTAAAGCATGCTGGGCGTATGGAGGGGATATGGGTACCCATCGGGGTAATACTAGGGTTTTATTGGGATAGTGGAGAATAACATGGAAACTATACGGATTTTAAATAGGGCAGTTTGGGCCCATACATTTGGGATCCACGAACATGGCATCATCTCCTTTCACAGTGTCAGCTGAATATTTGTGTTTATCCCAAAATCGATTTACATGTTCAATCAAGCATGAGGAGGTTCCTTCAACATTTTTTGGAAGCTGCGCCTGGCATGAGAAGGCTGCTGCGAGACAGCGGGCGCCGTGTTGATGGGAAAAGCGATGGATGTGCTGAAGCAGTTAAGAGGAAATTGAAAATACATATCCCATTATAGTACTTTCCATTTTCTTTTCCATTATCCCAATATAACCCAATTCTAAGACCTCTAAACAAGCTTCTTGCAACTCGTCAGTACTTGGACCTGTCGGGCCTTAGGGTAGGCCCCTGGGATATTTAATATTTTCCCTCATGACCTTAATAGGGGACCCTATATGATAGTTTCCCAAAATCAGGGGCCCTCAATATAGACCCCAAAATACTATAGTCCTTATTATTGGGACCCTTAAAATGGTACCCCTAATAGTGGGAAACTCCCATATATTAATATTGTTCAAAGGGTTTTTTGGGCCAACCCAGACTGTAGGCGCTCATGGAGTGGCAACCTGCCAGGATTTCGCCCTTCAGCGCTACACCGTTGAGATCGAGAAGGAAGAGAAGAAGAAGGAGACTGTTTTGGGTTTACGGTGACCGTGGGTTTATGGTTTAGGGTTTGGGGTTTATGGTTTAGGGTTTAGGGTTTGCAGAGGTTGAGAAGGAAGAGAAGAAGAAGGAAACTGGCAGCTGAGTTAGCAAGCAGAACCCTCTGACCACAAGAAATACTGTTGACACTTAAAATCCTGCCTGACGTTAATATACTATAGTAGCATTATTCCCAATATATAATATACATAGGGTCATGCAATAAGCTCATCCATACACAGCTTGTATTGGTATGTCCGAACAAAAAATGCAAGAGGTCAAAAACAGAAACGACGACTGCTAAGTCTGGGCTCCCTGGGAAAGCTGGACGGTTCTGAAACCTATCAACCACAAGAAGAGTCCGGGTTAGGTTTGACAATCGCTTTTAGTTGATATTCCTGTTAATCCCACATATTCTCCCCCAAAATGATTTTGATACGGCCCCACAACCTACCCTGGAAGTCCCGAAGCCCAAAAGCCCATATTATATTGGTGACCTCCGTGGAGACGCCTTGGCCAATGCAACTGATTGTTAGCGGGTACCACACGTAAAGCAGGTTTGCAGTAGTTTCTCTGATAGGGAAAATTTCGGTTGCTTTCGGAGACGCTAATATCTTGGGAGCAGGAAAAAACAGGGCCCCTATGCAGAGACTTGCGATCAGGGTGGGCGGTGACTCAAGCTGTAGCCATGTTCGAATGTTCAGTCTTCAAATTCTATACCAAGACCCTCCACCTATCCCTATTGGGGCCTCCGTACCCATCAGGGGCCATACATCCCAATTAAGGTGCTAGCAGAACCTTGGCATATTTTTAGCCCAACAGGCCTTGCATCTGTACACCCTAGAACCCTAAATCCTGAACCCTAAACCCTACCTGGAACCCCAAAATATGTAGAATGATAGCCTTTAGGGCTATATATAGGGGGTTCGGGAAATTATTTTGCCTACTTTTGGGGGTTAAGGTAAACCCTAAGCCCTAAACACTGCCTTAGCCCTACGTAGCGTCAGGATGCGGAAGCTCCGGCAAACCCCGACATGTTTGGTCTCGGGGCCGCAGCCTCAGCCGCTTTGGAAGGTGAAAGGGTGATTGAGTTCAGGGCTTATGTATCCTAGATGGTCCAAGTACCCGACTATTAGGGTTTCAACCCCCCAAAACCCGTCAGAAAAAAGAAAACTAGCCTCCCCCGCAAAAAAGATATTCCTTATTAGTGGGCGCTTAAAAGGGACGGGGAGTGGAGTCCTATAGAATCATCCCTGCGCGATCTCTGATTTATTTACTCCCCATGAAGCACCATGAAGTTCAGGCTGTATGGATTTCGGGCTGTGGTCCAGGCTTGATTATGTTTTGAAGTTACCTAAACCATAAACCTTAGGGTTCGAGCTTCCCGTTAGGGCTTCGGGCTTTTTGTTGTGTTCTTCGGGTTAGGTTAGGAGGACCCCACACCCTGTCATAGTAACTATAAGGGATAATCAGGATTATATTAGGGTCCTGTTCTATTCCTACTATACCATTATTACAAGGTGGAGGGTCCTCCTAAGGTTTAGGCTTTGAGGCTAAGTTCATGGTTCAAGGCTTAGATTGTACCCAGGATGCGCGAACCACAACTATTCTGAACTTTATATGAGCCATAGTCTAGACTCCTTAAAGGGGGTTTCTATAGGGGGTTATGTAGGGGACCTCAGTAAGGGTTACTAGGAGGGATACCAGGAATGTAAGTTATAGCTCACATGAGCTACTGTCAAGATTAGGATTTCCAAGGGATCATGAAGAGTGGACATAGGCGTCCCCTTGGCAGTTAAACATAGTCCCTGATTTTGACATCTCCATTCGCAAGGTGGGGAATATTACTGATTGAACTTCATATTAGGGGGATGCGAAAGATGTTTGATTGGTGATCGCTGTTAAGCCTAAGGTTAAATTCCAAATCCAAAGCCCTGAACCTTGGGCACTTGTAGGTTGGATTTGCAATGTTTTTTTGCTGAGGATGTCGAAGACGAGGAAGAGGATGACACGGAGAAGAATCAGCTACTTGAAAGCAGTTAGTATAGTACATCCTGGTATATCATGGTATATTCTGGTGTACAATGGTATATAATGGTATCTTATGGCATATTAGAGTATGATGGGCAAAACTCAGACTGAGCGGCTGCGGGCGTGTCTTACCCCTCGTGACTCGTGGCTCGCTCAGATTTACAAGGACAAGTATTTTTATGGCACTTGAGGGGGAAGGTTCGGACAGGATTTTGGGTGACTTCAAAGGGGGAGGCCTTGAATCATGGCTGCAAGAGCTGCAAGAGGCCACTCCCGTTATAGCTACATCCAGACTCTTCTAGGTATGTCGCAGTACAGGGCTTGCTTGTAAGCCAACGGCGGATGCTGCATTCTTGTCGTCGTAGGAATCCGTTTTTGAGTCCTCGGATGCCTTATTATGTCAGCTCAATGCTGGCTTAAAAAGGTGACCAAAAACAAACAGGTTTGTCTGATACAACAGTGGCGCACTGCAGTCGTAACTGCATGGAAACAGCTATAGATCCCCTAGTGAATCCCACTTTTGATACTGTAAAAGCCCTGAAATAACTTTAGCTCACATAGGACTCCAGCATTGCCAAGGTAGTAGGTACTTGGGTCCATGCAAAATTCTTTAGTAGTCACTCCTGTAGCCTAAGCCCTGAAAGCCCCCTAAGCCCTGGAACCCTAAAACCTTTACATAAACCCTGAACCCCTATAAACCCTGAAGCCCTATAAACCCTATAAACCCTGAAACCCTGAAACCTCCCTGAGCCCTGGATCTCCTTTGGCCGCCACCTGCAGGATCGAGTTGGCCGTGCCGAAGAAGCTGATGGTCGCATCCTTGGCCTCAAAGAGACACAGAGCCTACTGGGCTGATACGCATATATTTATTAATACACAGAGATAGATAGACATACGGACAAATATTGAAAAGTTGGCACGTATGTGTATGTAGAGACAGATACATGAGCTCAACAGAAGAATCCTGACGCTTTAATAGCTGCTATGTGTATGATGTCTATCATGGTCAGTGTGTACTTGCTTGGGCAGTCACAGCAGATCCCACACCCCAAATCGTAAGGTTCTGCCAAAGAATGTCTTGGTCGATTTGAAGCCTCCGAAGGGTGAGCTCGATCGTGGCGTGCTCAGCCGCGTAGACCTCTTGTTTCCTATTAGGAGGGGAGGGAGGTCCAGAACCTGCTAGTATCCACGAAAGTGCTCCCTGGTTTGCTACTAGGAGGGGCTGGAGGGGACTAGAACCTGCTAGTAGTGAGCTAAGTACACGTAACTTATATAAATGCATATAAAGCAGAATGATGCACACATGAAGTTCCATCTTGTTATACTTGCCAAATCTGCGTCCCCTAGGCCATCCAGGCAAGCATCTACAGAACTCCACCGCCTGATAGCCAATGACTGTTTTGTGTGTAAATCCTATCTGCACAGGACTGGCTACTGTTTGGCCACCGCTTTGGAAAACGCAGATTTCTGCGTTTAAAAGCCTATCACTCCACATGGGAAGTATAACGATGACCGTGTCAATGTCTGGCTTCCAGGCTTCTTTTCAGATCCAGGATGCCAAGCCCAAACAAGTAAATTTCATGCTGAAAGCCCCCAACCCTCCTTAGCCCAAGCAAGTGGGTCCTCAAAACTGCAACCTCATCGCATGTTCTGGTGGATATGTTCTTTCGGCTGGTGCCCTTGGATAGTCGCAGTACAAGGGCATGGAGGTCAAATTCTCATCATAATCAAGCTTGAATTATGTACTAACTGCGCAAAGCAGTCCACAAAATGTTCAGGCCGTCTCAAAATACTAGTATCCTCAGTCTTGCTAACCACCATGTGTTTCTATCCGAGCGCGCGAATTCGTAACACTGATACCAAGGATGGGCTATTAGAGCTTAAAAGGTCCCTTAATCTACCCTTATTAAGGTCCTGATAGGTCATTCTAGGGTCTAATAGCCCGTAGTTGTACTGAGGTCTTGTCAAGGATTGGAATGTGTGGCGAAAGCGACCGCGATCTGTCAGTGCTAGTCAGGACTGGGGCAGGAAGAGACCAAATACGGGTTTCCCAAAATTAGGGGTACCATTATGGGGTCCTAATAAGGATTCGAGTATTTTGGTGTCTATTTTGGGGTCCCCCCTATTTTGGGAAACCACCCAATCTCAAAGAGTTTGGAGTCCTCCAGAGCCCGTGCAGTTAAAGGGACACTCCATATCTTTATTGGTTCCGCACGGATGACACTCGTCTTCACAGGTCTTCAATCATTATATATATATATATACAGACTACGAGTCTCCGGGCGGTGGCATGCAAGGTGGATGCAGATACTCCCCCCAAAAGCCAGGAAAAGCTGGAATCCACAGCCTCATCAAATGGGAAACCGCTGTGAGGGATCTAACATCATTGATTTCAGGCCTCCCATAAGCCACCCAACATCCAGCATTCCTCCTCCCACGAGCCTTTGTAAGGTCCCACTCGGAACTAAAACCTTCTTTTTTGCATCAAGACCTTCAGAAAGGTATCCTTACAGGTGTCCCTGACACTGCCCACAAGGATGGAAGACCATTATAGGGGCTGTCAAAGGTGTAGGCACCTTACCAAGGTACCCCTCGCTCAGCGTTGGTCCTTTGATTAGGTGCTTTCAGGTAGGGCTGACGGGCGAACTCGAGACATCCTTCGAGAGTTCCTAGGAATTCCGGAGCCGTTGAGGTTTACGAGAAACTGTGTGCAGCGTTATCATGTTTGGGATACAGTCAACCTCACGACGTCACGCAGGATGCGGAAGCTGTGGCTGCAGCTTTGGGACCTCCTCTGGAGTGCGAAGCTTATGAAGCAGTTTGTACCAGGATGGGCTTTTAGACCTTAAAGATCCCTTCCCCATGTTCTATCTACTTCAGGGGGATTATATCCCCTAAACCCTAAACCCTTAGTTGGGGGGCCCTAAGTGCCACATTGCTTCTTCTCCAAGGTCCATGGCAAACTTTCTGCAGGATGCTGCGCAAGCGGTGGGCACCGGGTCTGAGCCCAAATCATTTAGGGTCTAGGATTTAAGGTTTAGGACAATTTAGGGTTTAGGACTTAGGCTTTAGGGTTTAGGGGTTTAGGGGTTTAGGAGTTTAGGATTCAGGGTCTAAGATTTAGGATTTAGGGTCCAGAGTTTAGGTTTAGGGTTCAGGGAAATCATTTCACATGGTCCAATTCTTGTCCAGGTATCCCATAGTTGGGTCCCTTTCAAGGGATATATAGGGTTCAGGATTTGCGAACCTAAGGGTCCGTGTACTCAATGATTGAGTACTTGGGAGTTTGGTACTTGTACTTGTAGCACAGGTCAAGCGGAAGTATTCGATTATGCAGTACTTGGACACTTGGGGATGTAGTGTCTCATAAGTTGGGTTAGGCCCCCATGCAGTACTAGGTCCTATTACAATTACAACTATCCCTTGTGGTCACTAGTAGTGGGTAGGGGCTCAACCTGAGATTAGTGTCTGATTAGCCTCGAGGCTGTTTACTGAATCAGGCAGGCTTTGGGAGCTCATCCTGGAGCCGCAATGGTATGTGAAGGTCTTCCAATATGTTTATCTATGTCCCAAAGGGTCCATGTAGCTATAGGGTACATACGTGGGCCCTAAAGTAGTTATATGGGAACCCCTTGGCCCTAAGTAGGTAGACCCTTGGAGCACGAGATGTGCTGCATGCTGCAGAAACGCCAAGACAATGACCCATGCACGACGCCCAGTAGGGGATAATGGAAAAGAAAGAAAATGGAAACTATTCCATTATGGGTTATGTAGGGGCTATGTTACGGATCATCGCAGAAGAAGTGCTTTGACAAAAATGTAGCCTGAGCTCCCTTTGCAGGGGAGAGTGGCCAGAAATGCTACCAATAACTTTGCCTCACAACCTCAATCAAGTTATTTGGCCCTGAACTTAAAACAAAAACTCGTTAGGATAGATGCGAGGACACGTTGACGATGTTGCCCGAAAGAAGGGAAGCTGCAACCAGCCCTGCGTGATGCCTAAACCCTAAACCTCCAATCCCTCACCTCCAAGTCCTTGCGAACCAGAAGCGTTGACAGGACCTGAACTTAAATCCTGCAACAGTAGCAGTTTGTGGTCGTATAGCAGGACTTTGGGCATGACATGGGTGCTGCTTCCAATGCCTACACGATGGACAACTTAACACACAATTTTCCTTCCCTAAGGGTCCAAGCCTTTAAATAGTATGCAATTAGGGCCCAAAGTACATGTATGGGAACCCGTTTCGGTCCCAATTCTCTACTATTTGAGTACTTGGACCCGCAAGGCCTGGCCTTAATCGCCAAGATTTATTGTTCAAATTCCTGAAAGCGTGCGCTACAGGCCCCAGGCCATGAACCTGGAATCCCTGAAGCCCTACACCCTAACCCTAAGCCCCAAGCCCTAAAACCCAAACCGTAAAACCCTAAACCCTGTCGGGCAGCAGGCAAACAAGTCTTGCACACTGGCTACTGTTAAGGGATGAGCTGTTGTCCTATGCCTGGAAGTGAGGGTCAGCACTGGACCGTGCCACATGTCATCGCCTGGAGCAATCTGGGAGAGAAGGTCCGGAGAAAAAAATGTGTATATATATATATATTCATAATCATAATTAATAATACTAATAATAATAATCACTACAACCACCCAAAACTAAAGTCTGAAGTCAGGTTAGCAACCGGCCGGGATGGTGTGGAGCTCATCGCAGATGAATGCAGACAGGCCGCCATAGGGTTTAGGGGTTTAGGGTTGAGTGTTTAAGGGTTTAGGGTTACTTGCAGGGCATACGAAAGCAGAAGGGGCCCGCAATTCCTTTTTGAAAAGCAGGACTTCTTCATAGTAACACTTCAAAATGCTTCCCAGGATAAGCTCTCTGAGCCTACAACCCTGAACTCTAACCTCTATGAGCCTATAACCCTGAACCTTAAAGCCCGATAAGCCCATATAATCTTATAACCTAAACCTGAACCCCAGCAGTATGTAAAATAATGGCCCTAAACCCATAATAATGGCCATAAAGGCCATTGTTTTACATACTTTTGGGGTCCAGGAACCCCTTAAAGCCGATAATTCACCCCCCACAGGCGCTCTCCAGCGCTCGCAACCTTGCAGCCAAGCTGTTGGGCGAAGAGCCGCAGGTGGCTGCATTCCTTAGCCTAGGGAGGTTGCTAGAGCAGCGGTACTACGGTGGATACTAAAAATCCTGCATGACCCTAAGTACCCTATACCTTGGGAAGGTCATGCAGGATTTTTAGTATCAACAGTAGGATTAGTACTAGTACTATATGGTGCGGTATTGGGTTTAGGGGGTTGTACTACTAGCAGTAGTAGGAGCAGGAATATGAATCGGAAGAGGAATAGTATCAGTGATAGCACGAGCAAGAATTGTACTGCAGTTATTATGTACCGGTAGGGGTAGTGGTGGTGTCAGCTTCATATGTTTGTTGTGTAGTTCTGTAGCTGTCTGGTCTTCTGGTTGCTGGTTGACTTGAAAACTCAGCCGAAAGAAAAAAGCCTGTTGCTATCTTCTACAGAGGCCCAGAAAGCTTGAGCCACAGTATCTACAGAAGAAGGACAGTCGATTGATCACTTGGCACGCGAGCTTGAAGCACTGAATAGCTCTGTTCTCCAATTAATGCGTGAGCCTGGCCCCATAGTGGCGGCTGCCACCATGAAGTCCAGGAAATCTACCTTGCAAAGCCCAAAACACTAAGCCTCGCTCTTCTAGTCCTTGCATCTTAAACTTTGCCCTGGGCAGTCAAACTCTTGGGCTCCCAACTTCAGGTGCTTCTACGAGAAGTAAGGCCATGGCAAATCTAGAGCTGTTGTACATTCCTGACTTCCATTCCACACTCCTCACTAAAGCTTGAGCCGCAAACTACATGCCGCTGAGACCTCAAAGTACTCCCTAAGACTCCCCACAGCCCATCATGGAGCCCCAAGGGAAAAGCATTCACCCGCCAAACCCTAAACCCTAACCCTCAACCCTATGCCCCAACCCTAAACCCTAAACCCCAAAAGCACCAACCCCCTTGATCCCCTCCAAGTTCCACAGGAGCCGCCAAAGCCGCCGCCTCTCAACGAGCCGGCACCTGCATTGGCCGCAAGCTCATCTCTGTCTCTCTCTCTCTCTCTCTCCTCTTTTCTCTCTTCTCTCTCCTCTCCTCTCTCTTCTCTCTCCTCTCCTCTCCTCTCCTCTCTTCTCTTTTCTCTCTCCTCTCCTCTCCCCTCTCTTCTCTCTCAATATGCACGAATACAGAACATAGAGTGTATAAAACGTACAATGGATTATAATATGTAAAATAAAATGTGGGTATCCAGGGTTTAGGGTTTAAGGTTCCACAATATGGGTATTGGTGAATATTAGGACTTCCTTGTTCTAGGAACCTAGCTTAAGCTTCTTAACTGCAGCCTCAACAAAGTCCCGCAACCCTAACTCAAAGAGCTCGTGTAAGAAATTGAAACCCCTTTTGCAAGCTCTTTGTCTTCCTTGTGCTCTGGGGGCTTTTGGAACAAAAGCCAACCTTGGACCGTCTTTCTTGCAACGACATCAATTGGTAACGTCCTGGACACGGACGTTAACGCCGCCAACCCAAGCACAACTTCAGCCACGCTTACGCCGAGGTGCCCTTCCAAGGGGAGACCGTCTCCCAGGCACGATCGGAGAGTACTCAAACTCAATCGAGCGACTAGGTCCATGACGTATATCTTTAAAAGGGTCTGTTTGTTAGGTCATTTTTGTTGCCTAGGCCCCCTAAGCGGTCCATGAGGCTGTGATTTCACAGGGTTTTGCATTTCCGGGAGACTGTAGGAGTTCACAGGGCCTATTATAGGGCGCACGACCTAAGATTTTGATTGCAGCTGGTGTGAATGAACATGTGATCGGGGCTTGAGGCGCAACACAACAACTTCGCCAACAGGAACCCTGAACTTCTTTCTCCCTTGGTTTAAGAACTTATGACGGTCTTTTCGGAATTTCTGGAACAGATGTAATTCCAAGGCAGGAAGGTTCCACAACAGCCATTAGGGGGACAGATTGTGGTGTCCGATTCAAGGAGGTCAGCAGAACTCTTTGCAATATGTTGAATGATAAGGTATCGGAGCTCGCCAATCAGCATGACTTTGTTACTGCTCACGAGCCTTGATAGCATGAAATCATTTATTGCACGGTTGTCAAGCTGTTTGCTAGAAGATAATTTGGAGTCCAGTGTTCCAAGCCCTTAAAATGTTCGGCAGGCGTTGAAAGAAGCAGCCGAAGTTGCACAAGCCAGCATCGAACTGAACAAGGACCTGCGGCTTTGGCTGTAAGGTTTGCATGCAACCTAGCAGATTCATGCGAAAGACAGAAGGTGGTTCATGCTTGATATACGAGCATTCTTCTGCGAGCGATGTACTTCGGATGGCCTGTATTCTGGTGTGGATGCAACAAGCGTTCTGCATGTTCCAGTTGGTCCCAGGGAGTGTTCCTGACAGTACCCCTGAAGTCCATGGCCAAAGGGTCAGCCCCACTTCCCTCCACTTTTGTCGCCGCAAAGAGGTAGAGTGCCCTGAGCCTAAGACGTCTCCGGGCCACGCTGTCCCATGCAGATGCAGGACAAGAAAGAGAAGAAAAGGCATCACCGGTCACATCACATGTTCGTTTGCATATCTGTGCTCAAGGAGGGTCACATGGACGGATGGTTGAAGCATACGGTGAGAGCCTGAATTCCATCTTGAAAAGGGACTGCAACTGGTCGTACAAAGCCTACACGAAGCACACACATTGGTAATATTTTTGAGAACATGTGTATACGTATACACGTATATATATATATATACATAGATTTCTTAGAGCATATAGGGAAGACGATTGGAAGTCCTAAACATTCTAGAGTCTAGAGAGCATCCGAATTTTCTCGCCAAATCTCACCAAAGTTGATGGCTGGCTTGCTTCATGTAGATCCAGCAGGTTCTACGTAGCTTCTGTAGCTTCCAGCAAAAGGAGCCCGCATGCGGTCGAAGGCACTACACGTTTCTAAAGATACGGCTACAAAAGGTTTGGCACATCTTGTGGGGGGAATTACTGTGACCGGAAGTTATGAATTCTTTTCCGAAGCGCTTAAACTGAAACATCCCAGCTGTACAGATCGCGATCCAGAAAAAGGCGACGCAAGAGGTCCTCGCCCGCGTCTCAGAGATGCGTGTCTCCATATGCTGGTGAGCAACTTGTGGGCGCGTGTTTCATATTGTTCTGCTTCTGGTCTTACTCACAGTACACCTGCAAGGGAGGAAGAGTGAGAACGGTGAGAGAACATGTTGCCTTTCAGGTCGAGCTCCAGCAGCGGAAAGAAAAAGAGGAAGAAATAGACCGATTTTGCGGTTAGTGTCGGTACCATAGCAGCGCAGAAAAAGGTTGCGTTGCCATGCCAGACTGCTTGAGACGTTCGATGTTCCTGTGTTTTGAAGCTTCTAGGGGGAATCGTTTACGAAATTAAGGGTACCTTAAAGGGAATATAGGGGTTCTATGGGGGTATATAGGGTTTGAGGCATGCAGGCAGAAACTGCAGCGAGTCTTCTGGCAAGGTTGCCAATCTAAACGGTCTTTCGCTCCGGAAAAGCCCCGACAGTCGCGCAGAAAACGAAGTATCCCCGTGCATATCTTTCTGAGGCTCTCAGGTATGAAGCGGGGCTTGCTACATGCTTGCAACTACACATGTCAGTACAGCAAACTGCACTCTAGCTTCATTTAGGTGTGCTATGGTTCGTTACTGCCATGTTTGGGTTTGTAAAACCTTTGAATACAACAGAAGGCATTACCCCCTTGTTGGGGAGAAAGTGCCTCGAAAATGGTGCCGCAGCTTGTCCTGGCACGGCTACTGCTGTTCGAAGCTTAGTTCGTGGGAATTTCTTTCTGCCTATATCAATAGCTATGCAATAGATGTATCTGTGTATACAGACACCGAGATTGCATGACATTCACGGGTTGACTACGTCTATTCGGAATTCGCTTAGAAGCGATGAGCCGGCAGACATACTAATACAGCGGAGTATTCAACGCACTTGGAACCGTCCCCACTTCCGCCGCATTCGAGTCGTTTGGAACCGTCTTCAGCACCTGGTTTGACCCCGATGGTAACACTGGCAATACAAGCAATACTTCTCGCACTTGCAACTGAAGACTTGAAGCAGTAAGAGCCCAATATCCCAACCGCAAATAGCAAAGGCCGGAAGCCTGAAGTATTCTCAAGCCTCCCTGGACCTCCCAAATACCCGTAATAATAGCTTGTTCCCCTAAAAGAATGGATATTGGATACAAAGGCTATTATTATGGGTATCTGAGAGGCCCAGGTCTTCTTCATTGGCTGGTAGTTTTCAAGTACACTACCAAGTCACCTGAAGATCCAACAGGCTTAGCATCTACCTGAGGCAAGCCGTAACGTCCCAACGCCTAATAGGTGCCTAGATCCCTCAACCCTGTACCCCGACTCGTAAACCTGAAATTGCAAATTCCTGGACTTCATACTTTCAACCCAATCCCACCTTCTATGCTGACTGCAGGAACCGCCGTGTCAACCATTATCTCACTGGAGCAAGCCCCTGATAAAGAATGACGTAGCGCTGTATAGAGAAGTATAGAGGTTGCTCAGTGCTACACAACATGGCCCCATACCGCACTCTAAGCATTTAGGCCCCCGCAGTAGCACAGGGTTGATAAGGGCCCCCCTTAAAAGAGCCCGCCCAAACCCAATCCCCCCAATAGGCCCCGGTGGGCGCCGATGACCCTGAACAGTCTGCACATGGGTCCTCCTGCGGGTCTTGGGGTTGGGATTCCTTAAGCGGGGGCCAATATCAACCCTAAAACGCCTAAACCCTAAACCCTTGAATCCCTAAACCCCAAACCGTACACCCTCATCCCTAAACTCTAAACCCTGAACCCTAAACCTTAATTCATCAAGCCGAAAACCTAATCCCTAAACCCCAAACCCTAATCCCTAAACCCCAAACCCTAATCCCTAAACCCCACACCCTAAACCAAATCCTAAACCCTAAACGTTACTGCAAGTCTTGAGGTTGGCTCCGTGCTTCAGGTCTGCAGCCTGGATCTCAGACTTCCGGGGCTTTCAAATTTTTCATGGCTTTTACACTCCTTCTATACTATAGGGTTATAGGGTTTAGGGT